TAGGTGCTACTTTTTACTTTGCTTTCCACCCAAATCACAATAGCCTGATAAAAAAGTTATTTTCCTCTCCCCCATGAAGGTCTTGTCAACTGTCTTACAAATTGTAGGTATTAAAATCATGTTTGCTAATGTAATACTTGATTGATTAAATAAAAATAAAGGAATGAATGAATGAATAAACAAATGAGTTAGATGAACTGGGAAAACTTGGCTCAGTCATCTCTGACACATCAATAAATGTAATTATAGACATTTCCGAAGACTCCAGACATTTGTTTTAAAGAGATGTCTTACATTTCTCTTGGAAATATAATAGTACTATATAGTTGAGAAAAGAATTTATTTGTTCACTGCTATGCTTCTTGAATGAATTCTCTGTCAGCATATTCTATGTTTTCTTTTCACTCATTCTTTAATCCATTCCAACCTGGCTTCCTCACCCACCACTCCACTCTTAACTACTACCATAACTGGTAGCTAATGTCACCAGTGACCGCCATGTCGTTAATTTCAGTAGATTTGATGTCCTTGTCTTGCTGCACTGTTCAGAAGATTTGGCCACAGTGAAGTGTTTCCTCCTTGTTGCCCTTTGCTTGGCTTCAATGGCATGAGGATCAACTGGCTTTTCTATTCCTTCCCTGGCTCTTTCCTGGTCGTTCTCTGACTGACTGGTAAATGTTGGAGTTCCTCAGGCAGCGGCTCTGGGGAATCTCGTTTCCACTTGCTGCGCTGTCTCTCTAGGCAATTTCACTCATTCCCATGGCTTAAATTATAGTACAATCTAGCCATATGCTGTTGTCTTTCAAGTTGATTCTCCCCAGCCAAGAACTCTCTGCCATGACATCTCCATTGTGAGCTTGGCATGGACCTCTGTCCTCAGTGTACGCAAAACTATACCCACAGTCTCCCGCCTCCTCAGAGTCCTGCTCCTCCTCTCATGTTTCCCAGCTCAGTGAATAGCCTTGCCACCCACCAGGTTTACCACGACTTCTTTTTGCTTAGCTGTCCAGGTTTTTTTGAAAATCCTCCCAAATCTACACTCTAAATATTTTTTCAGTCCACTTCTTTCCATGCCCATGCCAATGTCATCTCTTGTCTGGAGCACAAAAATAACTCTCCACTTGTCTATAAATATCTACTCTTGCCCCTCTCGAATCCCCAGAATACTTAAGGGAATGTCTGTGGGAAATGAAAATCTGATTGGGTCATCCCCTTGAGTAAGATGCATTGATTCCTTCTCATTGCTCTCAGGATACGGTCCCAAATCCTGGCAAGCCTTCCAAGGCCTTGTCTAACTCAGTCCTTGTGTATCTGGTTCTTTCTCTCTTACCTTCCTCTGAAAGAAGTCTCTTGCTCCTTTTTTCAAGTCTCAGATTCAATAGCACATTGGAAAAAAGGCTTTCCTTGACTCTATTTTAGTATAAGGCTAGGTGAATTTGTGTGCATGTGATCTTATCTTTCCCTCTGGTGGCATTCATCCCGCTTAACATTGTCTAAAGACTACACATCTTGATGTATTTTGAATTCCATGAGAGCAAGGATCATGACTCTCTTGTTCCCTCTTTTGTCCTGGCACCAACTGAGAGCTTAATAAATATTAAGTGAATATTGAATAAATGAATATGTTCAGAAAACGACCTTGCATTTTAACTTTTCCAGTGCGTCACGTTTGGAAATACCTGAGAACAGTGTGTTTCATGTATTGGTAAGGGCACGTTGTAATAAAGTATTAGGAGAATCTAAGGAGATCAATGGTACCCTCTTTTGCTTCTTTCCTCCGCAACTTACAAAGGGTAAATCTGTGCAAGGAACCAGCCAGGATTCTACATCAGTAAGGGCCCTATTATATTCATCGAGTCTTCTTTGTAAGGGCAAACCAATGAAAGCTTGTAAGGTGTTCTTGCGCTTCCTGATTCCTAAAGATACTTTAACATTGCTCCCTGAGATTGATGCATATGAGGAAAAATTCATGCGAGCAGTTGATTGAGACAAAGATGACATGCCACTTTAATTTACTCAGTTTAAATTACCTGTGTTAATTTTTAAAGTTATAAAAATAATAGTCAATGAGTGTAAAGAGTGTAAAGAGAAGAAAGCTTCTCCCACTCCATCGAAATTTACTATCCTTAGGTAATCAAAGTTGACTTGTGCATCTTCTGTCCTGTTTTCATGCTCATGTAGTTATATGCAAAATTCTATGCATATATCTAGCTTGCTGTTTGCTTATTTGAAAAAATAGTATTAACAATATCTATTACTCTGCAACTTGGATTACTCTTGAATAGTAATCTTTAGCACCTTTTCAGGTCAATAGATACAGATCTAATTCATTGTTTCTATGCTATGTAGTTTTCCACCGTAATGATAACTACAGTTTATTTAATCATATTCTCATCGGTAGGCATTCAAATCATTTCCAGTGCTTTGCAAGTACTAACAATGCTGCAATAAATATCTAGCTATCCTTACACACCACCACCTTTATTTCTAGAGGATATATTCTCAAAGTGGGATTATTGAAAGTATATGTGTATTTGTATATGTATATTTTTAAATGTTAGTAGCTTTTGATTATATTCCCAAATGATTGTAGAATTTCATACTTCTAAGATGGCTGCCTTATCCTCACATTGACATTGCGTATCAATAGTGCTGTCTTTGCAGTTTCTAGGTTAAGCTGTGCCCACCTCACCTTCTGCCATGAGGAAGTTATAGTGACCCTCACTGAAGGCCAATTGGTTCTCTACTCGTAACTATTTTCCAAGTTTCCCACTGGAGCATACTTGGACTTCTGGATGACGTCCATGCCACAAAGAAATCTCGGGGGCAGTATTTGTCAAATGTTTTTTCACTCCACCGTTTCTCTGCTGTGACCTCCCAATTGAGATTTGGAGTCACTCGGCAGGAAACATTCCTCCCACAGTTCTGAAAAACTAAAGTAGTTCCCCAAGCCTCCTCTGCTTTTGGCTCCACTGACTTTTCCTGTGGTTTCCCTCTTCTTACCCGCACCGTGCCACACCCCAGACCAAAACCTAAAAGATGCTGATGCTGAGTCCCTGAATGAACCAGGCTGTTTCTGAAATCTGTGCATTTCCCCTTTGAATTCCTGTCCCAGCCACTACCTTACTTTAGAGGAAATTCTTCTACATTATATCCTTCATCTTATTTACCCCAAGAATGTCTCTTTTTCTAGATGGTACCCACTCGACTCTTCCCTAACAAATAGGACTCACAGTCTGTCTTTAGTGGCAGAAAAGCTAAATGGGAAGATAAAAAAAAAAACCTGAATAGCTCAAAGAGAATATAAATCAGGGAATTTTTCAAAAATATCCCATTATACGTTGTCTACACCTTGACCAAAATACTTGCCCAGTAATCTCATCCCATGAATACGTAGCCATTAAAATGATTGTTACCCACTCTCTAATGTACCCCTGATGAGATCTTTAGAATGTCTTTATTTCCCTACCTTTTCTCCGCCCTTTAGAACCTGAGCTTTCTCAGTATAAGGTTTAAAACCCATGCTGGTAATAGGTTTTCCATATAAAATTTCACTTCTCTTTCAAGAATCTGTCTTTACTACAAATGTCCAGAAATGTGATCATCCTTTATTTACATTTAACCATATTATGCAGAATTTATTTCTTCTTAATTTTTCCTTTCTCTTTTTCTCTCCCTATTTTGAGATCTCTACTCTGATGCAATCATCCTAGTCTGGTTAGAATAATTCCTCAAATGTTGTCCTCAGGTAGGATCCATGGATAGTGTGCATTCAGAATTTTTCATGGTTAAAGGTGACTTTCTTTTGCCTGGACTGATGAATAATTTTTGGCAGAGTTAGGTTCTTGGGTTGCTGGACTTCTTTTCTCCAGTTACTACGGATGTTACCTTACTGTCTTTGAACTTAGAGCATCACAGATGAAAGGTCTGATGCTCTTCTGTTCCTCTTTTCTTTGTGAGTAATCATGTTCCTTCAGTGTAGAAGCTACTAAAGTTCTTTTTCACATTGGAGTTTGAAAATTTCGTCTAGATGTGTTTAGGGGTGTATGTGCTTCATTCATCCAGCCCCAGAGTCAGTGAACCATTTCAATCTGGAGACTCAGCATTTCTTCATCTTAGGTAAATTTCCTCTACTTTTTGTTGTTATTTCTTCCCTGTGTGTTCCTTTTCCTCATTCTAGAACTCACACTATTACATGTTGGGACTCTTGGGTCTGTCCTCTAAGCCCATTGTCTTAAGGTATTTCTCTCTTCATTTTTGCTCTGTTGTATTAGTTTTCTATTGCTGATGTAACAAATTACCACAAGCTTAATGGCTTAAAACAATGCAAATTTACAGTCTTATATTTCCATAGGTTAGTAGGCTGACATGGATCTCTCTGAGTGTTGGCAGGACTGTGTTCCTTTCTAGAAACTCTAGGATAGAATCCATTCCCTTGCCTTGCCAGCTTCTGGAGGCCGTCTACATTTCTTGGCTTGTGGTAATCCCCTTCACCTATCTTCAAAGCCAGCAACAGTGCTTCTCTTTGCCCCTTCTTTAGTAACCACGGCTCCCTCTCCTTCTCTTCTGCCTTCCAATTATACTTTTAAGGACCTTTGTCGTTAAAATGAGCTCTCCTGAATAACTGAAGATAATCTCTTAATCTCGAGGTCCTTAATTTAATCGGATCTGCAAATCATCTTTTGCCATGTAAGGTGACATTTACAGGTTCCGGCAGGTAGGACATGGACATCCTTAGGGAGCCATTATTCCACCTGCCACACCTGTGTTGTGAAATGGTCCTCCAATTCAGTAATGAGCAATAATTAGCCAAAGGATAGACAAGAAAGATGAGTGACAGGGGAACTCAAATGGTCCTAGCGATAATTTTCAGAGCTGTTTGCAATTATGCTTTCCATGTCAGCCTTTACGGAGCTTATTCCCTGGTGGGGCGCACCCCACACTCAGTCAGAAGTTACTGTGGTGAGAGCGACTAACCACGTGCTCTTGTGCTCTTGTAGAATCCAGCGAACACGAAGACAAGGGTGCGGGAGCCTCGGGGGAGACGCCCTCCCAGCCTTACCCTGCACCAGTGTACAGTCAGCCGGAGGAGCTGAAGGAGCCCATGGATGATGCAAAACCAACTAAACCTGAAGAGAATGAGGAATCAGACCCATTGCCTGATAACTGGGAAATGGCCTATACAGAGAAGGGCGAAGTCTACTTCATCGAGTGAGTTTCCCACATTCTTCTAACTTTGCCCTAAAGATCATAGCGGTATGTAAATGATGTAACCAATGGAGATGTGGTCAAAATAAAATAGTGAATTTTATTGTTTCTGATATTAGCTGCCGTCTTTGTGAGAAAATAATGGGATAGGACACAGTTAAGGATCCTAGACTACAGCTATAAATCAAGGAATGAGTTAAACAATCTGACTTTGAATTTATTGCAATCATGACAAAAAAGGCATATCTCCAAGTGATGTTATTATTGAATTAGAAATAGTGTACATGTTCATGGAGAAATGCTTATTCTACTCTCCCAAGACCTCCCTATAGTCTAAATGAGATAATCCCATCTTTTAAGTCAGATTGCTGGACACATCCTCTATCAGTGCAGTGGTTCAATAGGATGCAGCTATTTAGAGCAAAATGCTTGCTGGTCATAAAGGAAAACATTTTAAGCATTTGCCCCTGAAGTAGGTGTCAGTACAATCATTTGTCTTTGTATAGTTCATCTTAAATTCCATTCTGTTTGTTCCTTACCATTTTTATGACGTGCCAAGGAAACTGAAATGCTAATCCTGAACTTCCTGGTGATACTTACTCAATCTTTTCTTTTCTTTGGGACTTCTTTTTTCCAAACTGAATTTTTAATATATTTTATTAGCAATACTGTTTAGCTTTCCTTTTCTTGATATTCTAGGAGTAGAGCAACTTCTTTAGCGAGTTCCTGAGTTGAAGATCTTAGCACACAGCTAAATTGTTGATGTGCATAAGACAATCAAAGTGTTCATTAGGAAGAAAGAAACTAAAAATATTGTAAATGGACAACAAGCCTTATTGCCGCAAAGTTGTGCAAGACATAAAGAGAAAAATTAATAAAATCTGAGGTTGTCAGCATTGACGGTGGATAAAAATAGGTAAACTCTGATTATTCAAGAAAGATATTAAAACTGGATTCCCTTTCCCAACCTGGAGTGATTTCTGACTTAGATCTCCGTAGGCAGAACTCAGTTGTGAAATTAAAATGTTTCCACGTGCCAATATTTAATTCTCATGTGAAGGTGGAAACTTTGAAAGATGTTGCCAAGGAAATGTACAATGAAATAATTACTTGGTGCTCTGCTTGACTCCAACATGGATGAGAAATGCAGTGTTTTGCAGAAAAAGAATCACTACCAACCATTCACCTTTTGACAAATCTAATAAGTTTAGAAAAAGAATAAAAATCTCTTGCATTATTTCTTATGGCTATAATCAATGACCCAAAGACAGCTTTTATCAATTAATTGGAAAAGAGAAAGTCATGTAGAATTTTTTTAAATGCTCAAAAGTGTTTGTATCTAAAAATATGATTTTGTTATTGATAAGCACAGTATGGCACCATTGCAGACCAGAAGTCAAAAATATCAACCTGAGATGTGAGTTCACACGTTAATGTACAGAACAAGGAGACTGATGATAGACACAATTTTATTATGTAACACAGTGGGTGTAAGGCTATGTGGAAACAATAAAAGTAAGCCAGTGTGACAAGTTGATTAAAGAACTATTTCCCAGGGCCGGCCCTGTTGGCCAAGTTCCACGTGCTCTGCTTCGCAATCTGGGTTCCCCAAGTTCAGATCCTGGCTGCGGGCCTACTCCACTTGTCAGCCATGCTGTGGAGGCATCCCACACACAAAGTGGAGGAAGATTGGCATGGATGTTAGCTCAGGGCCAATCTTCCTCAGCAAAACAAACAAACAAACAAAACTTATTTCCCTGCAATGTTTCCAATACTACAGTTATAAAAGCCTTATTTCTTTGTGATTATAAAATAAACTTTCCTCTTTTAACTGTGTCAGGTTTTGGGATTGTGGAGAAAAAGGACTTTGGAAGACAGGAGTTGTGCTCCTAGTGTCTAGTAAACAATTGGGTGCTGTCAGGACTTGGGAGAATCCACCAGAATGATTCTATTAATACTCTAGCTGGTCAGTCAGTGTCGGCATCCAGAGAGTCATAAGATTTTGTCCCTGCTCTCAAACTTTTTGTCAAGTTGGGGAAGAGAGACAAATAGTTGCAAACAGTTAGCAAACAGTTTCTGAATTTTGTGCTGCCATTCGGAGAAGGACAGGCTCAGCACAGACTTAGGTAGTAAAAGGAGGGTGACTAACACAGACTTGAGAAGTTGGAAACATGTAGACAGAACATTCCAGGTACAGGAACTGTCACTGCAAGGACCTGGTCCCCTGGTGTGGCAGGGAGAGGGGGAAGACCCCCAACCCTACCGCAGAAGCCGGTGTTAGCTGTGACGTGACTGCTCACTTTTCGTTTTGCTAGATCACCTGTGCTTTGGAAAGACAAGCAGAGGCTTTTGTTTGTTCATATTCTATTATTGCAGGGAAGAACGGAGGGGGAGAGTATTAGGAGCAGAGAGATTGAGTCGGAAAATTAAGCCAAAAAGGACGTGATGGTTTCCTCTGTGACAGAAGGCCGAGGCTGAGGAAGCCTCATCCAGAGGCTGAGGAGAATGGAGTTAGGGCTGAAGAGACCGTGATGGGGAGGTGAGGAGTGCGGGGCAGGAGCGAATGGCCTGCTGACGGTGGGTTTCCACACCAGGCAGGCAGTCCCCGCCCCACCCTTCAGCCAGGGCCACTTTGAGCTCTGTCTTTCCTTCCTTCAAAAAAGTTACCTTTGAATCTCAAGACTCAGTGTGGTGAGCTCAGGAAGCACAGGGCAGGGAACGATCAGAGTTTTGTTCTCCCCGTCCCTCATTTCCACGCCATCACGACCTGCACTGGACGCTCCTTTCCCTCTGCACGTCCTTCGCTCTGCTTTACTTCCCCTCAATCCTCGCTGGTGTTCTCCTGACAGCTTTCACTCTCTGCTCTGGATTGCCCCTTCCCTTCCTAGCTACGTTTGACAAAACCGACACTTCAACCCACTGTCGTTGATCTGTGCCTGACTTCGCCATTGATAATCACGATGAATTCTTGTGTGAATAAACTCTAGACCATAAAAGCCCTTTGGAAACAATCGGGTAGAGCAGGAGACAGTGACAGGAGAGGCAGCTTAGTGGGGCGATAAGGACTTTCTTAGGGACTAAGCCATGAGGTGTCCTGGAAATTCTGGCCAAGAAACTTCTGAAACAAATACTCTTTGTAAGATAGAAGTTTGCAGCCTGGAAGCAAAGTCATGGTAAAGAAAGAAGACCAAAAGGAAAAGTAGAGTAAGTTAGGAGGTAAAACAGACAGAAGGAAAGGCAGGAGAGAAGGAAAAGGAGAGAGATTTGTAGGGTAAGGAGCGCTGACATCAGGGAGAACTTCCCTCTGCTACGAAGACTGCAGGACTCACTTAGAGTAATGGAAGTTTTTCCCTGGAAGTAAATCCCGCTCATTAAACTTTACTGAATTCTGTTTCTTGTGAAATGAAGATCATGATAAAACAGAAAGTAAGTGAAAGAAAGGAGAAAGACCCTGTGGTTCTGTGTATACAATTTAAATATATATATATTTCTGAATAGAAGAGAGGAACTCTACCTATGCTGGAATTCTAAATTAAATATATATTTCTTAAAAAATAAAAATGTATATAAAAACATTGTGGGTTTTGAATTAAGGTAGCAAGTAATTTCTCTCTCTCTCTTTTTTTTTTTTTTGGTCTTCTATGCAATGTTTTAAAATAGTTATTGATTTACTCAGTATTGCAAAGTAGTTTATATGTCTCAGGACTTGACAAGCTCTGCCTTTAGAAGATGAGGGTTTTTTCATCGCTGTTCTCGGTACTGAACACGTCTTTCCCACACTCTTCAGAATTGCTTTCTTTGATGAATGATGAAAGCAGACCCCTTTTATCATTTACAATGGTAGTTAATGGGAAAAGCTGTTTTTAAACAACAGAATTTTAAATTCTGAGTGAATGCATTCTTCCAAACATGCCCTAAAGCGTTAATAATGTCTCATGTTTAGCAATTTTCAAAAGACTTTCAAATGCATAACTGTTCAAAAGCAGTAGTTTCCTTAACTCATGACACCATCTTTACTAATATTATCTTTTAAAAAGACAGGGTAGTGGGGGCTGGCCCCGTGGCCAAGTGGTTAAGTTCGCGCGCTCCGCTGCAGGCGGCCCGGTGTTTCATTGGTTCGAATCCTGGGCGCGGACATGGCACTGCTCATCAGACCACGCTGAGGCAGCGTCCCACATGCCACAACTAGAAGGACCCACAACGAAGAATACACAACTGTGTACCGGGGGGCTTTGGGGAGAAAAAGGAAAAAATAAAATCTTTAAAAAAAAAAAAAGACAGTGTATTAATTGCAAATTCAGATTAGTAATAATAGTTGTCACATATTAAGCGCCTACTTTTTTCAGGCTGTGTTCAGCTTACTTAACAATAATAACTAATATATGAAGCATGTACACTGTGCTCGTTTAATTCTCACTCTAGGAAAACAAGCGTTATGGAAGTGAGTGACTTGCCCTTGGTTGTATAACCAAGAATTGACAAAGCCAGGATGCTTTGATTCCATTTAGCCAACACAAATTTATTGAGCACATACTATGTGCTAGGAACCATTTTAAATCCTGGGAATATAGTAGTCAACAAAATTCGTACTTTCGTGCAACATGGTCTGGGTCCAGGGTCTTTGCCCTTAACCAATTTGCTGTGGTGCCTACTTTACGTGTATTATATCACCACCACCCTAAAAAGCATTTGATGTACCCCCATTTTATCAATGAGATTCTGATGCACTCTTGGACAAATTAGCATTCCCGAGTTCTCATGGCTTAGTCACCCTGCAAAGCCATTGCCATTATCCCATACTACTTCCAGTGTATAAACCAACATTGCCTGAATAGAAAAGAAAACTTTTCTATTACAAATAGTATTTGTTTTATAAATTTCTTGGCCAGAAATTCACTGTTCCAGAGGCTAAATGTTCCATAAAGAAGAGTTGCCACAGGGTTAATCTGGATTGACATGCTTTGGGAATCCCATTAAATCACTTCTTTGTTTGGGAATCGGTT